ATCAGATCTCTTGTAGATCCTACGTTGGCAGCGTTTATCGTATGCGGTCCCTTGCAGTTTATGGTTTCTCACTAAACAGAAGCATGTCAACGTGTAATCTATTTGTTAAATCTATCTTGGAGTGACCGCATTTTCCATGCCTCAATCACGTGATCGTACGCCTGATCAAACAGTCACGCGGGTAGTGATTGACACTCCTTGAACGTTCGGGCAACTCGTGTTATCCCTCATGGACAATTGTGATACGTCATAACCTCTTCTTCTCTGTAACGGCGGAATGTCCCTGGCACACATACGGGAAAGCCTGGGTATCAGTCTCTTGTAAGCCAACCGGAAGTCGCGATTCAAGAAACCGTAAAGGACTGGATTAATAGCGGAATTGCTGAAAACTAGCGTGGAAATGACCAGGACTACAACAGGAGTTATTAAATCCTTGAAGAATGCGCTTAACACAACTGCAATCAGGAAAGGGATCCAGCACAAATAAAAAACGCCGACTACCACTCCTAGAAGAGAAAAGTAGAAGCCAAATAGTGAGAAACGGTTTTTTGCTATAACTACAGAAATTCTCACGAGCTCATTGGCTAATTTTCACTGTCAATAAGCGGACAGACATATGCATTTCTCGCGTTTTGACTTAAATTTTTCCCGTCTGCTTTTTTGTTATTGTAAAAAACAAATTGATGTCAGTTTTTCATGTGTCTGTCCTGTTATTGACAATCAGGAAAGGAACAACGCGAATGGAACCTNATGAATTTCTTCATGTCATTGTCAAAGTAGTCTGCGGATACATTGGCAATAAATGTTATGATGAAATTCATGATCAATAACAGGACAGACGTATGAAAACCTGGTGTCATCTATGATGACTGGAAGGTGTCACTTTCACCCCGGTACGAGATGAAAAAGTAATATCGCGTTTACAAAAGCTGTTTTTATAGCATTGTGAGTTTTACACTGCCGCAAAAACGTTGAAACTTCAAGCGATATGAAACAATCATACTGCGTTTACATGGTGCTGGAATGAATTTTCGTATCGGAATAAAACTCCCGCTCCGGTACAGCTACCGGGGTGAACCTCGCTCCGGTATGACATTCTTGTGGTGCTGTATCATGTAAATAAGTACAGAGCCAAAGGAGGGAACCGGGGTGAACTCCGGGGGTGAAGTCACACCGGTATGAACGTCGCCTCGGTGTCATGGAAACACCCTCTGAGTTTTGAAACTCCTTGTTAGAAGTTCTTCTTTTTTATACACCAGTTCATGTCTAATTTAAGAAGAAAACAGCGTGGCCCTTAAAACCAACAAGAGAATTTTATATATGATAAAAAAACAAAATATAGATCTTGGTTCAATTAGGCAGAAATATATTGGAAGAAAAAACTTTTATCGGTTACTGCTCAAAAGGATAAATTAAAATAACGTGTGTTTTCACTTCTTTTGGTATTTACTAGGAGACAAGTTAAGAGATACAAGGGAGCTCAATTTGTTTATTGGTAAAAATATGCACTTATATAGGCTTAAAATTGACTAGTGAAAGGGTTGTTTTTTATTTAACTATATAGCTTTGAAAGAGAATTACGCACACTTCGTTTGGTACTTTCAGTCATTCGTCCACTTTATTGGTTTCAAGTGACTATATATGAACTGCGGAGAATGATATGAAGACACGATTGATCATTGCAGTTATATACACAACTTAAGTAGCATTGAGACAAATTTTAAGCAGTGAATATATGACAGTTCAGGCTTTAATTTCACAGCTGCTTAAGTTGTGTATATAGCTGCGACGATCAATCATGTCTTCATACTTTGGTCAGGACCCTTCAGTCGGTTCTGACTAATGAAATCTACTGATGGAGAGCAATACTTGCTCGCACCAAACTAAAATCAACCTTGAGCACTCAATTGTGATTTCTCACTCGGCACAGAAGTCTCCACATCTAGAGGGATATTTACTTTGCGTGTATGATGTAGCCCGAAATAATTAAGCATAAACAAACACTACTGATTGAGCCGAATGGCTTTTAATTTAGGCTGTATCGCATGTTAACTAATTAGACAGAAAGCTAAACAATGAATAAGTAAATGGTACAAAACGCGCAGCTTTTCAGCTTGTGGTTGTATGCACGAAGCCCTGAAAATCTATCAATTGTTTATTTAATATCGACTCGCAGAAGAAACGTCTTTAAGATAATCAGTATAAAAGTTCATAACCTTCTGCTATTCTGTTCTGGCCTCTACTTCCGTTACCAGAAGAATTGATACCTTATGAGCCAACTCAAAATTTCATTTCAATTCTAATGAGTCCGTTTGTGTTTCTTCCTTTGATTAGGCTTTTTGTTAAAATTATGAAAAAAAGTGTCAATAACTCAGTTGAAAAATACTGCCATTACTATTCCGTGTGTGAAACGAAAGATTATACTCAAAACGTTTTGGTAAGTTTAAAATAAATCAATTTCAACGAAACCTTTACTTTAGTGACCGATTTTTTTTTTTACGTTTTTGATATAGCGACGCCATTAGCAGTTATTTCTTAATGTTATCGTTCTTTCTACTGGCAAAGGTGCGAAGTTTTCTGTTGACAAATGTATGCTTTACGAATCGATGAAAGTAGTTTTGTGTAAACGAAATTTTCGATGTTTTCGATGAAAATGGAATATGAAAAATAGGCTCGCGTGGTCGACTCGAGAACTCAATGGAACACGAGATCGGAACACAAGATCGGAACAATGCGAGTCTTTCGAATCCTAATTGAACTCATTTGTCGCCGGCTGGGCTTTCAGACTTCACAG